GGTCAGGGAGCTTATGTTGATACAGTAAGGATCCGTTGTTAATATGTAAATGGTATCACAATCCTCTCGAAGCTCAAATAACCTAATGACCTTGCCAACTTTTTTTTTATTTATTTATTTTGAGAGAGCTAGCGTAGTTGCGAAGTAACAGCCTTTTGTGATATGTTCCTAAATTTTACCAAAGGGTTTTACCAGTTGAGTATTTAAGCGGTGTTTTTGATGTAATAATTACACATTTCTAACACATCGTGCAGTTCATTTGGAAGTGTCTTAACTGCGAAGGCGTGACGGTGTATGAAACAATGAATCGCAATCACAGCAGCATTTTTCTCTCTTACCAATTGCACAAAATCTGAGCATGCACTAAGCATTGAAGGAGCGCCATTTGTGCATAGACCAATCAATATTCCCATGAAAGTTTGTATTTTTCAAAAAATCTGGGACTGCTTTCATTACATCATCAGCCTTTGCAGTCATTTTGCAGCGTTTTCAATACATGGAACATAAACTATTAACTGAGAACATTGTGCAATGCCAGTACTCTCGTCCAGAAGAATTGCAAGAAAGGTGGTTATTTTATTCCATCAACTACTTGATTTTTTATATCTTCGTCCATATCATCAATGCGGAGTTACACATTGTTCTCAGAAAGCGGTACTTATGATAATTTGTTTCTACTGTTCCAAGAACAATTGCGACTGCCTTCAACAGGCATGGTTTAATGAACGTCTCTCCAATAATATGACTTCTCTTTTGCTTAGCGAAAAGAAGTGATAGCTCATACGAATCTTCAAGCACTTTCTCGGATGACTGAGAAACAGATCCAGTACTATCCAACTTCATGCGTTTTAAAGTTTCTGACTTTGCAAAAAAACGCTCTTTGGTCTGTCATTAAGAGAAACAGGTTTCGTTGTCAATGGCGTTCAGGACAACTAGGACTCAAGGTGCTTCATTGCTCAATTTTGTGTTTGTATTTAGACATTACATGTCCCGTAGAGGGCAATTGGCCTCGGTGCCATTAGATCCCACGATTCTTAGTCGGCCACCTAACCAGGAAGCCGTGATAAATCGAATTCGCTTCAACTTCATGACTTCACGTAGTTCAAGAGTTTGACAAGAAGACCAACGCCAAAAAGGTAATTCACAGGATCAGTAGCGAACACATTTCAGAATTAAGAAAACCATCCAACCGCATTACCTAAGATAAATAACCGAAAAGGAAAACCTGAAAAGTAACACCCTGTCAGGTAAAAATGACTGCAGTACGAGGATTGAACCCAGAGAGGAGCCATCCAGAAAAAAAGCAAAAAAGGTACAAACAAGGAACAAACGGCGTGAGCCACTTCGCTTGGTTATTGCTCAACACTGCACACGAAATGACATATTGAGATTGTTCAACACCGTCCTACAGTATACAAATAACCCCTAATTTAATATGATCATCGTTATACTTGCGTTCTTTTTCTAAACTCATCTCGAACGATATCTTGTCACACATCACTAAAGACAACTATGACAATAAAATTGAAATCTTCCTAGCGTACCAAGCCATTTTTCTTTAAACATTTTTTCTCAAAAATGGCTCCATCGTTTTTGATGAAATTTTGTTGGTGGATAGTCTGAAGGGCATTTAAGAGAACATTCCAGGTGTCATCTTTGTTGAAAACCCTAATTTTTCGACAAGTGAAAACATTCATTTTTTCTGCGTCTTCCTACAACTATAATTATAAAGATACGTTTTTTCTTAATGAAATGGGTTTATCAAAAACAGATTTTCAAATAAGGTCATGTTTAATCTTTCGAAACTATGAGTATTTTTGGAGTAGTTGGGTGTCAAAGTGATTCGCCCTCTTTGAAAATACTGCGCTTCTTGATCGTAATTTAGGGGTTTTGAGGCAGTTGGATGCTACGTAAGTTTGAATGTGTATAGTATTATATATTTCTTTGTTCGTTTGTTATATTGGAGCTTTTGTTATACGTTTACAAATTAATATTTTAGAAATTATTTAATACCTATTTGAAATAAATATTGCTGGCCTTCAGTCGCGCTCTTCTAATTTACGCAATTGGTTTGGTACGGAAGTTAAAATTTATATATTATTTCGTATTTCATTTTATAATTATTTACTATATATTTATATTATTTCATTTCAAATAGCGCCATTTAATTGTGTTAAATGTGAAAACGAATAGATGAGCGGTCATTGTTGGTTGTTATTATCCATTGTCGTCACGCCGCACAGATAACATGATAATGACGGTTGCTTTTCATTCGCGGAAATTAAAACGAATACTATTATATATTTAAAGAATATTACAATATCATAGTGTTTAATATTGACTATTATATATTTTTCGATCCTTTGTTTTCCAACGCCAGCAATATCGTATTATTTAATAACTTTTAAATGTTATACTTCCTTGCATTCTCCTTATTTTTGGCACCAATTATTGTACGATTTCAAATGAATATTATAAATAATAATTCGGAGAGAAATTGTGGTATAAATAGTATTATATAACTACGAGTATTACTAATAGCGAAAAACTACGTGCAGTTATAGTTTCTTTAAATGTTTTCCTCGTGTGTACTAGAGAAGAACAGTAATGAAAGCATTGCTTCTCCCATTTTCGGCACAAAAACTCTCACTCAAACTCCTAGCAATGAAATAGTGGATAAATCATATTCCTATGCATTGGAAATTACTTTCTCTAACAAGCGGTGTAGGCCGAATCCAGGTTTTATGGCTCCTTGATACTGAAAAATCGGTTGACCGCAAAACGTCAGTTTGTCCGTCCGTCAAGGGGTCAAAACTAGCGCATAAACCGCTCAGCCGCTCTACAAAATAGATATTTACATGAATTCGAGGCGCTCTGAGTTTGAAACACATTTTAATAGGCATCTCCTGCCTCCTACAATATTGAATTTCTTGAATGAAGTCTGTTCTTAACAAACTTAAAATAAGCTAAAATACAATTTTCAAAAATATTAGTAATTTTTGCGTGAAATAAAGGCAATTTTTAAAATATTTTTTGTCACAAAAGTGGCTCCAATTTTGTCCTTAAATTTTCTCGTGTGTAATTGATTAAATATAGCTTCTAAAATCGGTTTAATTGATGTTGCAGTTCTTGAATTCGGAACTAATAATTTAATTTTGGAAGGGAATTTACAAGAAACCTCAAGAACATTTTCATTTTTTCTAAAAAATGACGGTTTTTTTTATTGAACTTTGTCCTTGGATAACATACAGGACGCTTAAAAATGGTGCAGGTCTCAGTTTCGTTAAAATATCCGAATTCTCGAAAATAGCATAAGTTCGAAACTTTGTTGTCTTCCTACAAGTACAATATTGAAGGTAGCAATTATTCTTCCAGCGAAAATGTTTTCTTCAAAATTTGATCTTTAGAGAGCGTTCACATTTTTTTCAAAATATAAAGTCTTTGAGTTAATTTCTGCGAAATGAAAGCAATTTAAAAACCAGATTTTCTCAAAATACCTCCAATTTTTTTCTTTAAATTTTTTGTATGGGTAGTGCTTCATGCACTGAATTAGATTAAGATTTATTCAGTAAAAAAACAGTAAAAACTGTATGTGACGTAGAGGCGAAGAGATTATCTGATCACGTTTTCTTGAGTTCAACTCCCTTCCCATCATTTTAACTATAAATAGTTGAGAGGTGAGTAAAAGTTGAACATAAATAAATAAATAAATAAATAAATAAATAAATAAATAAATAAATAAATAAATAAATAAATAAATTTAAAAAATCGAAGATTAGCAATATTTGAAAAGTAGTCATTTCCGTTTCTGAGTTATAGAAAACTTATTTGGATCGGTACACGAATTGCAAGTGTGTTTGATTGTTAACAAAATAGCAACTCGCCCATACTTCTACTCTTACCATTACAAGCAAAAGGAGAGTTCAACAAAACGTGCACATATAGTGAAAATACATTTACAACATGACATTTTGTACATGACAATAACATGACATTAATCTCATTTTGATGTGTTCTTTAGATTTTTCAAAAAATCAAAAATGTATTTTTTGTATATTGCGTCGTTAATATTTGCGTTACAGGTAGTTTCAATACATAATTGAATTTGCTTGAACAAGCGCTTCCAATGATTTCGGATGATATTTCTCGAATTCTCTAAAGTTTTTATTGAAAATTTGCCTTAAAATTGCCATGCTTTTAAAAACGGCTCCAATTTTTTTCGTAAAACTTTTGGTGCGGATGGTGCTAAATACATTGAAATACATGACACAGAATTCATTTGCATGTATTATTTTGATGTTTCAAAAACTCACAATTTTTTTTATTTTGCGTGGGTGAGAAATCTGTCACGTCATTCATATTTATAATAGTCATTTTCAACAAGTTATTGAATTTGTGAACAGAAGGGCTTCAAATGATTTCTTATGGATTTTCTAAAAACTTTTCTTTGAAACCGAGTTCAAAATTGCGCATTTTCAGACACGCTAAAACATTTAATAACGGCTCCAAATTCTTCAATAACACTTTGCACATAGAACTATGATTTATTATTTTGTGATATTTGTAAGTGCGTATTTCAATTTTAGTATACGGGGCCGAAAAAATTAGGAAAAATGAAAAATTGTCGTTTTGGCGCTGATAGAACGTAGCTGTTAAAAGAATGGGGCAATAGCAAAAAGCTAGCCTAAACTCAAAAATTAGGAAACTCACTAGTGCGACAAAGTTTGTACTATTATAGAGCACCACTAGTGTTATATAAAATATAAGGTGTGAACTCTTTTCGTACTTTGAATACATAGTAACACTATGCTCCATTCACGAAATACTCCATATTTTCTCTATTTACAAAACGCTTCCCAGAATAAAGTTTTGTTGTTCGTAGAATTATGAATTTCGGCCACGAATAATTGTTCTAATTCCATATTTCCGCCTTGATGAAGAACAGTTGCACATCTTCACTAATCCCAGGGTACCAACATTATTGCTAGAATTGCACTCTCATACCAACTGCATAACTGAATCATACCTAGAGAGCCAATTGCATGTTTATCGCAGTTTATCGATAGCAGATAGGATAAGTTGTACATTAAGTTGTGCGTTGCGAAAGGTATTGCCACCTTTCAGGTACTGTCACTATTGGTGCCCCCACTTTTTAAGGAAAAGAATCAGAATGGGATTATTCGGAAAGACGCAAGAAAAAAATCCAAAAGATATGGTAAGCGATTCTGCGAAGTGCGATTTTTCGTAGCTGTTTCTTCATATTGACGGCACGGCAGTGACATGTTTTATTTTTGAATGCAGGTGAACGAATGGACCCACAAAATTCGCAAGGAAGGCTATCAACTCGATCGACAAATTCGAGGTATTTTTCAATGTGAAATATAGGATTACGTGGATAGCTGTCAGTGCAATTGGTCATGTATGTATATACTGTCATCATTTATTTTAAGCCATACAGAGAGAAGAAGAGAAGGTGAAGAGATCTTTAAAGGAAGCCGCAAAGAAGGGCGATAAAGATGTTTGTACAATATTGGCCAAGGAAGTTATTAGAGCCAGAAAGGCAATTACCAAAATACATACATCAAAAGCACATTTGAATTCCATTCAGCTTCAAATGAAGAATCAACTTGGTAAGTAGAGCTTATGAAATTGTTCATTATTTCTATCTTTAGAATTCTATTTTGTGTATTAACAACTAGTTGTCACAAGACAAAAGTCTTAGACCTAAGCTAAATATCATTCCCAGCTTCTGTAGAAATAGACACATAAGTAGCCAAAAAAGTTTAAGAAGTTTTAGAAAACTTGCTTAACTTATTGCACAGAAAATAAACTAATTTAAAAATTTGATTTTGACACTCGTGAAATGCTTTGTCAGATTTTTGAAAATGACCGGAATGTTTTCTGTAGGGTGTGGTAAAGAACATCTGACAGAGATTGCCACCAAATGATAAATTTAATACTGACTTAGATGAGAAAATTTCAAAAGGCTCAGAAAATTTTACATGATAATCAAATCATATTAAATTGATGCTACATTTACAATACTCCATGAATCTTGATTGAGGACGTTACAAACCTGTCAAAAGAATCTTTGGTAGTAATTACTTAATGTGATTACAGAATAAAATTAAGTGAATCATTTAATTTCACACAAACAGTTCATCATCAGAAATCATTTAATTTCACAATAAAAAGTACTCACTTGTATATTCAATTCAAAATAATAGACATGAATAAATTAACTCTAGAAAGGTTTTTTCTTTTACTGTAGTTTAGTGAGGTAAAGTATTGGAATCACCTCAATAATACAATAATCAGTGAAATTTCAGATTAAAATCTGTGTTTAAGGTTCTTTTGAGCTTAAACTTTACACTCGCACACACACATCAAGATCTATTAGTACTGTTGTAAAGATGGTAAAAATCTTTGCAGGTGGCAAGGGAATGCTAGTAAATTTTGTTTGGTAAACACGTCAGGAGTAAAATCAGGTTGTGCTATTCTGGGGATCATTAAAATTCTTTAATTTTGGAAGAAACTTTATATAAAGCTTCTGTGACATTTTCATACTTATCTGATTAATTGACTGATATATTTTTTCTACTAATGTTTTGTTTGAATTTTGAAAGGTCATTTACAAATGTGATATAGATCTGATTTTCAGGAAAATTTTTGAAATTTTGTGAATATTACAAGTTCAAGTATTTTTCAAACGTATCGTACATATACAAATATTAAAGCTGAGATTTCATTTTTTAAGCAATTAATTTGTCAGTTGTAATTTATAAATAATGTGTTCCCCTTTTTTTAAAAAATATATAAATATTTGTTCAGCAATAACTAGGAAACAAAATTTATTGTATTAAAAATTTCAAAATATGCACCTGTATACATCTACGTACTTTTTCATATATACAAAGGATAAAATTGAAAATCTCTCATGAGCTGAATAAATGTTCTACCTTTACAGAAGTAAATGAATGCTAGGCTTCACCATACAAGTGTTGTATAAAATACAATAAAAAACATTCTGTAATATATGCAATGATAGCTGTCATACTGCATAGCCTGAGTCAGTTTGGGGTGAGAAGAGGTTAGAGGACCCTCCCTCTCCCCAAATCTAACATTGTAATTGAATTCAATTTCCCAAAGTCATTGGTGTCAGACATGTCTTATTTCGATTAAGACACTCATAGACTCTATGAATTACAAGTAAGCCTTGTATAGGATCAACTCTCCTTGGCAAATATCTATTTCTCATTCATTGATTCTGAGAATGACAACCCATGGTGAAGATCTGGAGGTCTCAGAAGCACAGTTTCACTTTGCTTTTTTCCCCAAAAAGCCGACTTTGGAACATGTGTCTGGGATGTTCAGTTTTCACATGAAAATGTATTCAAATGTAACAATTTATGTAAGAAATGTGAAGTAATAAGTAAAATATGTAAATGTATGTAATTATACCAAAATGCATACACTGAAAATTGTTTTAATTCAGAATAATTTGCAAACAAAAATTAAAATATATAAAAAAATACCTTTTTGCTAGTAATAACATAAAGAGGAGAAAAAGTTTCAGTATGCTGTGCATTCCCATCATCTTTTCTAATTCAACTAATTATTTACAGTTAGTGGACCAACTTTGAAAGGTACTCATATAGAACATAAATCTTTGTGTTTGTTTTTTAGCAACTTTTGCAAATGGACTCCAATAAAAATTATTTTTTCCTCTTTAAAAGGTGTTCTCCCCTAGTGGTATCATGGAAATTGAATGACATGCTTATTACAGATATGATCCAAATATAGGAAATGAAGTGCAACACTTAAACCATTCAAAAACACTAGCACCTAAACTGTATACATGATTTGTTTAAAAATTGTTATTTTTCAATGGATCTGAAATAATTTTGTGTCCTGTGAATATTAGAAATTTGTGGGGTACATTTTATGAAGATCACATTACAATTTCAAAATTTTCTCATTTCTCATTAAATTCCTTGCTCAAATAGATCAAAGTGCACATACAAAAATTGGAAAAGTTCAAAGTTCATTAAAATATTTGAAAATTGAAAAAACTAGTTTTTTCACACTTTGACAGTTATTATTGAAGATATAGACATTTTTTCTTCAGTCAAACTATTCATCAATATTAAAATTTTGATATTTGAAAAACAATTTTTTCAAAGTATTAGTAGTTTGCATATAATTTCAAAACCAATTATATCAGTTTTCCAAAAATGAATCAATGAACTTTTCTCAAAAATATCTTCATATTTTTCTTTTAAAATTTTTGGACAGTAAAGGTGAATGCACTGAATTGTGTAACATAAGAGCATTTTTCATTAAAACGCTTGAATTTTGAAAATGATACAAAAGAATTTATGATTTTTCTTCTTGCAGGTAAAGAGAGGCATTGGAAAGAAAGAACAGTATAATTGTTTTCCGTCAAAACCTCTGAAAAGCTAAAAATAAAATTAAAAAAAACATTTAAAAAATTTTAAACTATAAAAAAAATTTTAAAATATAAAAATGCACTTGAAATTAAATAGTACTTTCAAACAAGTATTTAGTCTTCCAATTCAGCAATAACTTTATTTAATGAATATTTGCTATGTTTAGTTATTGTAAAATCGAAGGACTAAATGTGTATTTGAAATTATTAGGTAATTTTTTTAAGGACTAATTACATTTGGAAGTCAATTCTGCATTATTTAAATTTAATGTTTTTCATTACAGGAACATTTGATGATTGATTGCAAAATAAGATAAGACTTTAACGTTTTAAGGTGTGAAATGTGTAATATTCTTAGCTCATGAACACTTCAGATGGAAACAATGAAAATGAAATTAAAAAAAAATAACATGATGTTTTTTCTACAGCGCAGTGTCAAATATATGAAGGGAAGTGACCAGATGTTTTAAACAGTAAAAAGACTGGGGTTGAATAATATTGTTTCATCAAAACAAGTAAAACTTAGGGAAAAATAAATTAAAATGTATAATTTATTTATTGAATAAAAAACAACAACAACAACGCCCTCTGTTTGATGCATTGGAATTAGAAGGTTACATTTAGTGTTCAGAAGCAAAAGTGTAAAGGCACATCAAAGTGTTTGGTGAAGTGAAAAGAGATATTAGATGATCGCAGAAGAAAAATGTTTTAAAAAACATTTTTGAGGACGAGGCACAATTTTTTATTATTATGGTTGTTGCAAAATTGTGAAATTGATACTCAAGTATTAACTTGTGGAATAAATTATAGTTATCTTTGAAAATTTCAAAAGTTTTAAGTCTGATTTCCTTGTATCCATCTTAAAATATGATATTGTTTAATAACACTGTGGTTATCTGTTCATTTCTTTATTGGCTCTTAACTGATTTCATAAATATTACTGCATTTCTGAGAACGCAAGGCCTAGAGGTATAATCCAAAATTACTCCTCCAAGAATATTTGGACATTAAAAAGGGGAAAAAAATTATATTCAAACAAAGTTCACCAGTGAGGAATCTACTTAACAAAAATATTTAGTCAACAATAACATTAACAAATTAAATTGTTTTAAAATGTATGCTTAATCCTCAGGTTACAAGTATCCCTTATGTACTTGAGAAATGTAAGAACTAACCATTTTCATGAATCAGAAATAATATTGATGGCCAATGAATGTTTTGAGTTTGTATCTGACATCAGATCATTCATAATTGTATATGTGATTGAATTGTTTTCAGTTCTTGTTCTGATTACTGTGTTCTCTGGACAGTAATGTATTGATGTTAAAAAAATGATTGCATTGTGTGATGACTAGAAGAGACAATAGATTAGATTGCACCACAGTTATGTGCCTGAACTTCACAAACACTTTTTAAGAGATTGGTTTATTTCATTTTAGTTTTCTTATAGGCTAGGAAGTATACTGGTGAAAAGACTTTTTTGATGAATTATTTATTGGAAATATTTCAGTCAAATGTTTCTCCTCATCTGTGGTGAACATCCTCAAGGGGACAGCATTCTTGAGCAAAATTATCTGGTCAGCAGTTTGCTAGGCACCAAATCATTTCCCTAAGACTACTACCACTGATGTCATCCCCAGATGTGAATAAAATTTTTGAAAAATCTTTCCAAACATTCATCAGCCTGAAAAAGGGTAATCATTTTGATGCTGGGCATAAGAGCATCAATGCTTCATGAAATTGTTATTGTTTGCAGCTACCCTAAGAGTGTCTGGATCATTACAAAAGTCAACAGAAGTGATGCAGGCATTTCAGTCTTTGGTTCGTGTCCCAGAAGTGGCTGCCACAATGAGAGATCTGTCTCGAGAAATGATGCGAGTATGTATTGTTTATATTGCTTTAATATTGGTGCTTAACTACTCCCAAATCTACATTAATATTCTAACAGGAGCTTAGTGTGTTGTCTTAAAGCTTTTAAATACTTTGTAACGTATTGTAAAGTAAAGTGGAAGTTGTTCTTAGTTTTGGTGGTTCTTCAATTCTGTACAATTGAAAACATCTTAGTATTTTCCTTAAGTGTGATTTTTAAAGTAAATAACAAGTTAGGGAGTTGTTTTTGCTATCTGCGTAGGCTGGCATAGTGGAGGAGATGCTGGAGGAGACATTTGAGGGGCTGGAGGATCAGGAGGAGTTGGAGGAGGAGGCGCAGGAGGAAGTGGACAAGGTAAATATTCTCATTAGAAATTAATCCTGGCCAATTTAGCATAACAATAGGTGCGTGGAAGAAAGTTGACTAGTGATAAATGAATATGAACAATTGAAAAAAACTCCCTCCTTGTATATATTTTAAATAATTTTTTGAAGTGTACATGAAATTGTGAACATGTACATGTACATGTTGCATGTGTGATATTTAAAGAGATGGATACATAGATCTATTACATAACGTTTTGTTGATAATAGTACTTACAATTTAAGTACTATCTGCTAACAACTTACAAAACATTAATCACACAAATAATTCATCTTACAACAAAATAAAATAACATACACCTGATCTCTCTTTCATCAATATTATTATTATCATAAAATCAATATCACTAACCGACATGTCTATCAGTAAATTTAATGTCAGTTTAAAATAACAAAAATTGACAATTAGTCCAATTATGATTAGTAATCTGGAAAAAAAAAGTCCCTTTATATAAATGTCAGTGATGACGTTAAATAATTCAGTTGTTACGATAAGATAAGTATTTGCTGTTATACATATATCCGGGGGGTGGGGGGGCGTGTGTGTAATCATATTAAGTTTATTTATAAGATCATTTATTTACTTTTATTCTCATTTTTTTAATGTTTGTACTACTTTCTGCCTATGAGAAACTTTTGAAATCTTATATGTATCTTCAAAAACTTTTCTCTGTTAATTATTTTTAAATTTGTACTTGTACTATGTAAAGGGTATCACCGATTGTGGTACATATACCAAGGTATAGACTTTGGTTCAATTTTATATTATAGATGTACAACTTAATTGTACATTGTACACACTGTACGCAAACGCTTTTGAACTGAATGTAATATGTTGCTCCATCATTTTAAAGTTAAAAATATGAAATTGAAGTAATATTAATTCAGCTTTTCATAATTAAACTGTTACCACATATTCCTGGTATTGAGCTATGACATTTGTCAGAGAATTTTTACATCTTTATTGAAAATCTTTTCCATCGCAACATTTGTATTTAATTGAACAGTTTGTGATGCCATAATGAAATTTAAACATTTCATAAGGGTTTTTATCATCTGTTTTTCAAAACTTGTCATAGGATGTGTGTCATTTGATTTAACTTCCCAGTTCTGTGATATCAAAAGCTCTGATTAGGTGTAAGTTGGCAATAATAGTTGCGATATTGATTGCCCTTTGACCCATAACTTTTAATTCTGTGATGGGAGCAGATATCTTGTGTTAATCTATTGTAGAGGTGGATAATTAAAGTAATCTTATTCACAAACATCAGTTTTGATAATTTTACTGAATAATCAAACTTTGCAATATATGTAAATAAAATTTGAGTGTCTGTCTGTGATTTCAAAATGTGGTAAATCCCCCTTTACTATTTCATATGGTTTTTTAGGAGATATAAAAACCCATTTAATTTTTTTTTACAATTTTTCTCACTCTGAGATAATCTATCTAAAGTTAATCTGATTAATTTGTGTGCCTGGGTTAATCTCAGGAACCTCTGTTCTGATTTTGATGAGATTTCACTGAAAGGTAGAGTATTTAGTTGTACATAACTTAAGGAATTTTTTAAGGGACCAGTATTTATTTGGGAATTATACAAGATTCTGTTTTGTACAATGTAATTCTGTAGAAATTGCATCTGTCAGTCTGGTTTATATTCACATTGGACAGATATCTGCCTACAAATGATGTGTAGTGTGCAAATTTTACTCTATGAAGAAGATGTATTTTTTGTTTGTTTTTTATGCAAATCAAGTTTATTCTGAACTTAAAATTTGTTAATGTGACCTTTATTAAAAAAGTTACTGTGTATATGATAATTTATAACAATTAACCTTCTGTCTTGCTACTATCCTTTAAAACAAAATTGAAGTGTGCACTCTGTTTTTCATGGGATGTAAATCCACCAGAGAGACTAAGGCTTTTATAAAAGTCAATAAAATTTCCTACTAAATACATTTTAATTCATTCTGTTAGTGCAATTTAGGCTTTAAGAAATTGAAGGACAACTTTTTTTGGGGTGTTTGCTAGGAGTATCTGTTTACAGCTGCCTGTAGCAATGATGATTATAGCAAATATGTTCGAGCAGGTCATGGAAGGGTTGGAATACCATTCAGGTAGAATTTTTTTTCCTGTGTAATAATTGATTGTGATTAATAAATTCATGGGCAATATGAGGTAGCCTATTTCAGCTAGTGTTTTATTAAAATTTTTAGAACAGACATTTTTGATTAAATTTATCTAACTCATTCAACTTCATACCTTTTAAATTGCACAGGTTCTTTGGGAACTGACAGCAGGGCAGCTTGGACAAGCTCCTGCTGCTGTCACCGACTCACTACCACCTACTACTGTGCCTGCATCCGCCGAACCTTCAGCCAGCATGGACGACGTGGAGGATGAGGATGAGTTGGAGGAAATGCAGAGTCGATTGCAGGCACTGCGCAGCTAGCCCTACAACAGCCTCATTGCCCCTCCTTCTTCCTCCTTTTTTGTGTCCCTTGTCTCTCACCCATGCAAATTTGAATTACTCTGGAATTGTTACTTTTGTTGTTAGAGATGGGATTGTTGGCCACTTTTTCAATTAGTTCCTTGAAGCTATTTGTAAAATATATACATAAGAGTAAATAATGTGATGTGAGAACAACTGAATAGGTACAGCTCTATAACTCGATAATTATTCTGAAGTGACAGAAAAACTTAAAGCATATGTGAATACGATAAATCTGAATGGTTAGTCTATTTCTGAAATTTGAATTTTCTAATTTAATGAGAGTTAATAAGAAGTGTTGATTAACATCAGGACATGTTTTCGCACTGAAATTATTTTGACTTCACTTGTCCACAAGATATCTTCATATATTTTTGTAAACTTTGGATAATAATGATATATCAGTGAATGATATAATTAACATCTTACATTTCAATTTCATGGACAAAATAAAGCCAGGTGTTCTAATTAACAAGTATACTAATGGGAAAAGTGTGCCAATAATTACCTTCAACAAGTTACTGCTTGCAACCATTACAGATTATTTTGTGAGCACTCATTGGACACTTGCCTTTATGAGCTTCAGTATTAATTTGACTCTTCTCATTGCTTGCATCTTCATTTAACTGTTAACATATTTTCAGAAACTCCACTTCAACTGCATCATTGTAGAACTTATAATACAACAAGCTTTGCATTATTATGAGAAATACAATCAAAGGAAATTAAAATTGTACAGAAGTATATCAAAAGTTGTACAAAATTTTTAAAATATTTATTTGCTAAACTTGATATGCTTTTGTTGTATATGATCTAAAGATGTATTTTGTACATAGACTGCATACTGTAATATAAAGACTATTAAACACTAAAGTGTTATTAATGATTTTTATTGTATTTTTAGTTCTGTGAAATGAGTTTATATAATCCCAACTTTACCTTATGTTTCCCCTGTTTCCCACCCTTACTCCTATCTCCAACTCAGCTCCCCCCTCTCTCTCCCTCTCCTCCCCCTCTTCACCTGTCTGCGCCACCCTCTCTCCCTTTCTTTCTTTCCTTCCTTCTCCCCCTCCATCTCTCCTATCCTCTCTCTCTGCCTCTTGTTCGTGAATACACTAAGAATTTGCAAGTACGAGGCGCATCCAGAAAGCAAGTTTCCCTTTTTTGCTTTGAAAGTACAGGTGTTTAGGTGGGGAAATTGTGCATGCGTAACAGATCTTTGACGAATCATGATGATTGACGCCAACCTGACAGGTCCCACCGAGTGTCAGAAGCGTGCACAGAAAGTGGGTGCTGTGGAAGCACGGCAGCGGTGGTCCGAAATGGCGCTTATTCGTTCTTCCGCAGCCTTCGAGATTCGGACCGTGATAAAGTTTCTTAATGTAAAACACATCGCGCCGATCGAAATTCGTCAGGTTTAAGGGCCGAACATCATGAGCAAACAGATGGTGCGTCGCTGAAGTCAGCAGTGACAATGCTCGTCACATACGGCGCAGCAAACAGTAACCATTCTGCAAGTTCGCCTGGTATGTTGGATCATCTCCAATACAGTTCTGATCTCGCAACCAGCGATTTTCATTTTTTTCTGCACCTGAAGACGTCCTGTCCTCCGGTCGGCGTTTTCATAACGACAAATAGCTGAAGTCGACTGTGTTAGGCTGGTTCCAGTCGCTGGCGGTACACTTCTACGAGACGGGTTCAAAGCTTGATACCACGATATCACTAGTGGCGACAATGTCGAAAACAACTCAAACATTTCTGTACTTGCTGCCAATAAAGTTTTGCGTGTAACTATGTTGTATTTTATTTCAAAAAATAGGGAAACGTACTTTCTGGGCGCGCTCCTTACATTGAACATGCCTGAAGTGAAAGGGAAAATTCGAGTTTTTCCAGAGGTAGAAGCTCAAAAGGAATAGTAGAGATGAGAGGAATTTTAACCTGTTTCACGCTGTTGATATGTTTTGTGGGTCCTTCATACTGAAAAATTAATTGATGGTTAAATGTTTGTCAGTCCGTCCGTCGTTCTGTCCGACCGTCCGTCTCTGTCAATGTTAGCATGTAAACAGTTCAGCCTATTCGCTACAAAATTTATATTTCCCTATTGATTTCCTCTGATAGCGCAAAGGATGTTTAAGAGAATGGCGCAGCACTAATTAATTTTCTGAAAATTGCAAAAGTTCATTTTTTCCGGCATCTTCATACTACTTCAGTATTGAAAATAGAGATTGTTTTAGAAATGAAACCTGATGTTTAAAGACAGATCTTGAAATAAGGAAATGTACAATTTTTCAAAAGTATGAGTAATTTCGATTAATTGTATTCTCTTTATACTCTCTCTTCATATGCGTCAAAAATGTTAAAAATATGGAACTAGTCTCATATCTGGCAAACTATCTGTATTTTCAATTTTCAGTTCCAAAAACTCAGCTCTTATCATCTACAATTTGTTTTTTTAATAGTAGTTTTTGCGTAATTTATGTTTGAAAATGCATGTAAATTATAAAAGAAAATTATCAAAAACCTCTTCGAATTTTTTTCTTCATTTTTTTTGCCACTGTTAGAACAATAAACGCTTAAGAGAACGGCGCAGGTCTTGTTTTCGTGTAACTATCTGAATTTGCGAAAATTGCCGATTTAGCATTATTGCGAGAAAGTGAGTGCTGTTGTAACACCACTAGTTTCTTTAATTTTGTTTCTTGGATAGAGCAAAGTACGGTTATAAAAATAGTGCAGGTCCGATTTTCGTTGGTTCTCTGAAATTTTCGAAAGTTGGGGAGTTTAAAAGTTTTTCGGGATCATCTTACAACAACAATATTGAAGTTGAAGATTTTTTACAATGAATTTAGTTCTTCAAAATGAGATTTACAAATAATATCATGTTTATTTATTTAAATTATTTTAATAAACGGTCTCTCGGCCGTTTTGGTCACTTCACTACGACTTCGCCACTGGCGGGCCTCCTGTATCTATCATTATGTTGTGGGTGTAATGAGTATTTGTCTTCCATTTACTTGGACTCATTTGACCTAATACACAACACCTGGCACCGTCGATACTCGAACCCTGGGATCTCCCGGACGGAGGCACTGGAATGACATCTGCTGATGCCCTGAGCCACCTAAGCCGATAGGTCGAAGGTAGTTTCAGAGATGAATCATTCGGTCGTGCCCGGCCTCTTTGATTCTGTTTTATCTGTCGCTTAATACGGCCCCTTTAGACACTGCTGGTCGGCTAAAACGGGACAAATATTTTATTGGCTCCCGGATGCTATGACGACCAGATACGTAACAACCGAAACTAGTCTTAATGGGCTACACCAGAAGCAAAACCTCGCTGGAAGGAAGACATTAGGAACCAGATCCAGGAACCTGGGTTACATCTCAAACTAATGGAGATCAGGAGCTTGCTGGCGTGGGAAACGGGCTCAAAACAATCATTAAATTCCAGGGCCAATTGGATGAAATCTATTCCAAGTGGAAATTTTTTAGCGGCTGCTCTGCACCTACCGCCACCATTCCTAAAAGGCCCCGTGGTCATGGTGGCAAACGTGCTACTCTTATGCTAGGACGCAGGACCTTTTCAAGAATGATTTAGCGCTATTGGCAAAGTGCATTAAACGGGTATTCACTGCTCTAGTGTCGATCATCATCAGCTTCTTAAGAGGGGTGAGGTTAATGACCTGCACAAATCCAATTGCGGTACTGAGTCCCTTATTCGGCATTCCATATTGGTGAAAAGGTTACGTCACCTAAAATGGACCGCGACACCATTCTATATGTGGTGGAAGTCGTTGAAAGTAAAAGTCACCTGACTCGTAGGAAAAATTCATGTCTTCAAGGATAAGATCAATGTTAGCAGCTTCAGGGGCAAAAATTGAAACATTGTCCGTGCTGTCTACCCAAATTCTAAACAGGAGCTCTGTGCCATCTGAATGGAAAAGTAATCGAACCATCCTTATCAAAAAATAGTGTAAGGATAATAAGCGTGTAACTATCACCCCATGACGTTCGATTCTCTGCCGTGGCGTTATGGACGAAGCGTTATCTTTTGGGACGTTATGAATGCCGCATTCGATTCGTGAAGCTCAATCCACGCCAAAAGGGTTTTATCCTCAAACCTGTCTGTTTCGCTAATGTTTAAAATTTTTACGAAACAAGCATGAACAACGCGGGGTGGTGTCGATACCGTACTAAACATATCCAAAGCATTCGACACAAGTCCTCACGCGGCGATTCTATAAGTCCTGTCCAGGAAAGGGATCCCCAACGCCTTTACTTATTTGGTAATGGACGCTGAGGTTTCCACCGTCATTCAGTACTAGGGATACGATATTATTAAATAATAATCGATTAATATATAATCAACGATTTTTTATTAGATTAACATGCATCGATTAATCGTACCGAATTAATCGATTAATTTTTCACATATTTTAAATAATGCGTGAAATCGTTAGTTTTTAATTTGTAAATTAATTAATCGTTGTAGCTTTTAAGGCGTTTTAATTAAGCGTTAGTAGTTTTTTACAAACACGGCACCATTTAATTAACAATATTTGTTTGTTCTTTATTTAAATAATATTCATTTCACACTCGTACTCATGAGAAACGTCTGTAACTCAGTTTAAAATGAAAATGATCGTAAAATTTCTAGAAACAGTAACACCTATAATTGTAATCTAACGATGGTTGAGGATGATTCTAGGAAAACTGTCAATTCTCTTTCTTATTTCATACTGAATATACGAAGGGTATTCAAAAAATTCCCGGAAATGGCTTGCCGTCGCCAAACTAGCAATAATACAGTCTTCATATTCTTGTGGTAGGCGACTGCGCCTGTTGCCACGCGGGCAAAATTGGTCTGAAGATGTCTCAGAGCGCACTGGCGCCACTGCTCCGTGTCACGTGAAGGTGAGTGTTAGTCCGTCGGCGTAAAGTCGCAGTTCGAACAGCGCGCGAACCTTAAGTGCATGTGCAAACTGCGAAAATCGGCTTTATAGATACTATCGACCCTGATACACTGTGTCCTGGACTGTCTGTTACTGAAAATTTCTATGTGCAAGTTTGGCAGAGGTTTGGTGATGCGGTTCGAAGGACGCATAGCGCCAAGTGGAGAACGGTGTCTGCCGATCCTGATAACGCGCCAAGACACAGCGCTTGTTGCGCAGGAATTCATTGCAGAGAACATGTCTATCTTTCCTTAACTACCGTATATTCCGGATCTCGCTTCCCGATACTATTGGCTGTTCCTACTATGGAAATAGATCTCTGAGGGAGACGTTTTGCAACCGTGGAGAACATGAAATCGAAAGCGACGGCTCAGCTCCGACAGGCGCCAAAAGAAGCATTCTACCGCTGATTTCAACAGTGGCAGATGGAGCTTTTGTAAGGTTCCGCATCTTACTTAGATGATTAGGTTACCATTGCCATAAGCTATACCATTAACAAGCTGAATCACCATTCCCGGAACTTTTTGAACGCCCCTCGTACAAGTGTACACGAGTGGGCCTTCAGCTCCGAAACCCCTTTTCGATAATGTCTCGTTGAATGGTTCGCACGCTGACACTTGTTGATGGTCCAGCATTGAAATCTGCGGAAATATGCGGAAGGGTTGCACTGCTGTCACGTGTTATAATTCTCCTCAGTCATCGTCGGTCGCGTTCTTGCAAGATCTTTTGCCGGCCGCGGCGATGCCAAATGTTTGATGTTTTACCGGATTCCCGAAATCCACGGCACACTCGTGAAATGGTCGTACGGGAAAATCCAAATTTCTTCTTGACCTCGGAGATGCTACGGCCCATCTCTCTTGGGTCAACTATAACACCACGTTCAAACTCACTCAAGTCGTGTTAACATGCCATTGTACAGCAGTAACCGACCTAACACTTAATTGCCAGGCTCTGGTTGTCTTATATAGTCGTTGCTGACGGGAGCGCCGTATTCTGATTAGTTCCGGACCTCTTTATTTCAATACGCATGGCTGTACTAGTTTTGGGGGGGGGGGGGAGGGGGGGCCTCTTCAGTGCAATGCAATCACTAAAATATTAGAACATACATAGTGACTTTTCATTTTATTATTTTTACTAACAGGAAATTAGAACGTTTGTCGTCTCCTATTATGTTTTGGCAGTTACAGAGTAAACAGACGAATGAATTCGTTAATTAAGTTTAAAAATAGAGATGTACTTTCACTTTGCTCGTCTTGAAAATAAATATTTGAATTAAAAATAATCGAGCTAAGAATTGGAAAAATTAATCGATGTGTACATTAATCGTTGCAAAAATAATAGATTTCAATTTTTCGTCTCATCACCATACCGTGTTATCAAACCGTTAAATGCAACAGTGGTCGCTAATGACTAAATGTTGATGCTACCTAAAAAACTAAAAAATAATAACAGAAACACGGAAATGCATGCGGATAGGGAACAAATATTTTGATACATTAAAGGATTTTTGGGCACTAAAAGCATTTTTAGTTCTAGGGCATTCTAAACAATATTTATCGCGTACAGTTTTCGTGTTTTATACAATATACTATTTATACTGTAGTGGACCTTTGAAATCAACGTAGACTCCGACCGGTACTCAGAAAGTAAAAGGCAGGTTTTCGGTGATGACAATACATAGTAATTTGTATACAATTTGCAAAATTTATTTGAACCTGAAATTATTTTAAAATAATTGAAAAAGTATTAAATTAATAATATCAAATTTCAACAATTTTTTTTTCGACTTTAATTTCAGTAATTAAATGAAGTCGTGACTCGATTATAGGAACTTGTGGGGACTAAACATTTTTGATTCATTGTATCAGGGGTTCACTGTATCCGAAGATGTCAAATTAAATAGAAATCTCCAGAACGATTGATTTTCCTTAATATAGAGATATCAGCAAAATACGTTAACAGCGCGAACTGAAAATTACAATATCTTTATTGTCTTAAAAAATATATTTTTAATGTTTGTTGTCGTACATTTTCATAGTGATTTTTCTGGATCCTTCTCCAGAGTTCGTACTCTCTCCATATTAGATTTTGCATTGCCCTCTGCATATAAGTATCGTAATGCTCACTTGACCTTGTTCATAAAACTACAATGGCCTTTGTACTGTTGAACACCGCCCACTGACACTTCAATTTAAGACCTTTGCTCGTGATATTATTTTCAACCTGCTAGTGTAGAATTTGTGGTACTCAGGCGATATATTCTTTTCTAGGAGGGTACTAATTTCCAGGAACGTTGTATTTCCTACGTTCAGAAAGTACGCCGAGGTTCAGGTTCACTATAACTGAATCTTTTTTGCTTATTTGTAATCTAAGTGAAACGGAACCAGTGATTTAAGTTCACTATAAACGAGGGCTCATTATATCCAAGTTCACAATAATCAGAGACTGTACTATTCAAATAAAAAATGTAATTACTTCAAAATTTCTGGGATATCCCTCTCCCAATCTACACCACTGAAAGAAAAGATAGACACCTCTCACATGGCTGCACCCTAGTGATAATTCAATTTTGCGCGCATTGTAAATTAATATAATATGTTATATCATGTAACCGCTACAGATAAATAAGCTCAAATAATTTTCTCCTGACATTTTTTCATTGAGATTTATTATTAGGTACACTATTGAATAGAGGTTATTCTGATATTACTTTTGTAATTCAATACTCGTTTTACTACCCGTTTTATAGTTTGGTTGTTTTTTGAAATTTCTTTGACCTTAGCGTCTCACAAAATCTTTTAATTAAAAGAATCCTACTCCTCTCCTAATTTTTTACCCATTTTCCTCTTCTAATTGAGGGATCTTTGTTTTCCCTATCATTTTAGATATTTTAAAAAGCAACAACACAAATTACGTGATAGAATGAATAATTCTTTCTTCGCCTGTTTTACTTTTCCTATACGTTCGTATATGAAAAGACTATTGCTACGCGAAGAAATGGCTGATTTTCGAGAGAAATAATTCATTGCGAGGCCCTGATAATGAAAAAGTAGGTAAACCCAGTTGCTAAATTAAGAAAAAAAATCCTCTAACACGTGGTGTAGCCATAAATCCTGTTTTGTGAGTTCTTAATACGAAAAACCAATTGGGGGCTAAACGTTCGTCCGTCTTTCTGTCTGTCAGTCCGTCTGTGAACATCATAGCACCTATCACCATAAAGCGATTTTTTTTAAATTGAAGAAAATCCTGGGCGATCTAACTCGAGTGAAGCTTTTGAGATTTTGAAAACTTCTCCCAAATTTTGGGCTACTTTACATGAAGCCACCCGGACATTTTCAAATTTTCTCAAAAATGGCTCCACATTATTTCTTTAACTTTCTTGTAAGACAGAGTAAAATAAAACACTTTATAAAGGTGGCATAGGTCAGATTTTGACGGTTAACTCTGAATTTTTGAAAGTATCAAATGTTGCCATTTTTACGGCGTCTCCCTACAACTACAAAATAGAAGATAGAGGTTTTTCCTTCACATAAAATTTATTGTCCATAATTAGTTCTTTCAATAAGATCGTGTACATTTTTTTGAAAATTTTAGTAGTTTTCGAGGAACATTGTGTGCAATATGTTCAATTTAAAAAAAAATAAAGAACTTGTCAAAATGGTCTTCGAATTTTTTCTTTAAATTTTTGGTAGAAATAGTGCTAAATGCACTCCAAGATGTCATAAACGCCATATTGCTTTATTCTTTTGTTTTTTCAACAATTACAACAATATCATTTTTTGACTTTGCCTCTCACATCATTCATATTTACATTAGCAATGATTTGTTCTCATCAATACATTTATGAGTACATGTGCTTCAGATGAATGTTCTCAAAAACTCATCAGTTTTCTGTGAAAGCTCAAAATTCCGCATTTTCAAAACGCTCAAACGCAATTTTATTAAAAGTTGCTCCAAATTTGTTCTTCGAACTTTACGAACGGATAGTGCTAATTGCACTTAATTAATATGACGTGAAGCTCATTTCTGGGTATATTTTTGTTTTTTCAAACATTATACAAATGTATTTTTTTAAAGATTTCTCACACCGTTAATACTCGTGAACACATTTTCAGCAATTGGTAAACACTATTGTGTTTGTGAATTAAATTACTTGAAATGAAGTTTATCGAACTCTCAAAAATTGTTTGTGAAAAAGAGTTTCAAATTTCGAATTCACAATAGCGCATAAGCGCCATTTTCTTAAAAACGGCTGAAAATATTTCATATAAAATTGCCATTTAGGACGAGGTTTTACTGTTTTTTAATATTCATAAATAATATTTCTGTTATGTTATTAGGAAACCGAAAAATTAAGATTTTTTTTAAAGAAAATGTACTTCGTGCGGTGATAGATGGCAGCTGGCAAGAGTATGTGGCAAGTTCTTATAGGTAGCTGAGACCAAAGGAAATGGAAAACTAAAACGAAGCCTGTGCCATTCTGTAACACCACTAGTTTAATTCAAAGCACACTTTTATGGAGTATTTGTTATCACTTGTTCACAATGAGGGAATGGAAGATACATCATTTCTCAATTGATGATTCTTAGATTATATTTAAGGTGATGGAATCGCAATCATTATTATTACGATAAACATTAAAAGAAAGACACTTCTTAGAGTACTTTATACGTGTCTGTCTGAAGCTCTCTTGCATCTATCACTACTCTTACAGTGATTTGTTTTTAGATGAGGGATTCTAAAGAGAATCATCCTGTCTTCTTTTGCTTGAGTTTTAAATCGTTCTTTTTCATTTTATATCTCATAAAAGTTAAATAATATTTAAATATTGAAGGGAACGGATACTTTCTTTTAATGTATGTAATGGATGCTTCTGTTTTTACCAGAAGGGGGCTATTTCAACCAACCTATTACCTCACATTATTGTTTCAATGAAAATAAACCAGACCCTGATTGTCTAAAGAACAATAACATGGAATCAAACTTAATACATGTATATCTAATTTCGCCCCACTCTGCCCCAGAAATCTAGACTTGAAGAGATTGAACACTGTGCGGAGCCGATTAGGGCCCAGAGCAATAATTCCAAACTTGAAGAAATGTTGATATTTTGAGAAGAATAGTCTTCATGTTGAAATATGATTATTTGTTTGAACTTAAAGAGACAATGGTGCACGTTTTACATACAGAACAATGTCCGCGCGCGAGGCGAGGGCGTCTTGGCCTGGGGAAATCCCGCCCTCGAGATAAGACGCGGAAGGCAAACAGGGACGCGGGGCGATAGACGCCGGAGGCTCCGGACGTCCGGGGACGGCGGTAGCGGCGGCGGCGGGGCCCTGGCGCTGGCACAGTGCTGACCGCGGCTGCCCGCCTCACCACACAGGAGCGACGCTGTACACGCCGAGGCTTACGGATTGGGTGCACCTTCCCGGGACTACCATATTCCAGTGTTTTGCCACAAGAATATCATAGAAGTCGATATTTTCATTTGAAATGACTCTTCAGACTTTGTGCGGTGTTGTTCGTTACGCGAAGTGTTACGAGTAGAAAATAATCGAAGTAGGAGTAATTGGTGGACCGAACGAGTGATCCGCGTCCTTTGGACTTCTTACTTCACCAATCATGCACTTCCCCCCCCCTCATTCAGTGGATTGATTGATTGGTTAGTGTTTTCGTACGCGCCAACTACTAAGGGCATTAGTACCGTAAATGTAGTGCATGTAATATTCCCCGAATGGAAGGCGAGATCCGGCGCCCAACCTACCCGTCGTCTTGTGTTTTTCGCCCTAATCAGGTAGCCCCACCAGCGGGGCACCGCCCCAGCCGGAACAAGGTCTAAGCTCCCAACAGGTCTGCCGACATGTGTGTTAGTGTAGTGCACGTACGTGTGTGTGAGAGTGTAAGTAAGGAGTTAGGATAGGGCAAGGAAGTGAAAAGAAATATCATATGCAGTCCGTGGCCCGCTTGTTAGGGCACTATTCCGACATCCGCTTGGTGTTGATCGAAGAAACCGTGGAAGATCAGAGCACCAGGTCGCGAGAATTATCCTTCAGTCAGCGACTGACAATCAGTCGAAAAGTGATACATAACATGAAACATTTTGCAGAAGATGCTCATTGTTGGGGGCATAATGCTTATTTTCATCGAGCAACATGTATGTATGGAAACCAAGGTACTACATCACCATACTTCGTGCTGTGTCACTGAATAAGTAAACTTTTTTTTTCTTAGATGTGATTCACATTTATTTGAAACTGAACGTGTCTTTTTTGCCAGGATTATCAAATACAGTACTGCTGCAGGAAACAAGATGAGGCGAGCCGACAAGATAGAGACGTTCTTACTGGCCAAGGGCCACTGGCGCGCTAGCCCTCCTCCTCGGCCCGGCTCAAATGTATTGTTGGGCGAATGAGGTAAACAACGCAGATGCCGCCATGAAGGCGAGATGCGTGGTGAAAGCGCTCATGTTGCTGCGGTGGCCATTGATAAGAAAACACTTCCTAAAAGCGACATTTTTTTGCCATAAATGGAACTGTTTTTCAGTTTGCATTGCTGTAGTTTTGTAAAAGTTATTCAAAGGTGTTCTTTATGGAACACTATTGCTTGTTTCGAGTACCTACAAACAATTATTTTTCGCCAAGTCACCATGATATTTTAAGTCCGTTCTTAAATGTTTTATTTTCTTTTAAATGAAGACTTACAACCTAATTAGTCTCTTCATAATTCAATAAAGCAAAAATGTCGCTTTTAGGAGGAATTGATAAGAAAATGTCAATAAAATAATGTACAGCAGCAACCAACTGCTGATCTTATTGACAATAAATATTTAAAAAATTGATAAGAAACTATGTGCCCATTGTTGGCAGCGCCCATCACTGCATGCGCACTTTGTAGTTAGCGCTCATCGACTGAGATGTGTTGATATCGGCAGAAATGTGTTGCTAAGGGGCGAGAAAGTATGTGCAGATTAGCACCACTAGTTTGGTATGAAGAACCAACAAAAAACATGAGTGATGGCTACACCACATGTTAGAGGAAGTAATTTGCTATTTACAGCAACAGGAGTTTTTCACTCTTTCGTTTCAGGGCTCGGCAATATGAGTTTTTCTGCCGAAAATTTTCCGTTTTCCAGCGCACGATTACAATCCTTTCTCTACTTACAAAGTGCGGGAAAGTAAATACGATCCACTTGGTATTTTTGGGTTTATTATTTTATTTCGGGGGAGGGGGAGGATTTGATTGAGGCATACTAGTAACTTTCTCCCATACTACATAGTATACAGAAAGTTATGTAATGCTGGGACGAAAAACGACGGTTTTTCGGGAGAGATAAAAGCATTGTAGGCTCCTGATGCCGAATAAGTGGATACTTTCTGTTCTTATATGTAGCAAAATACTTTATGTAAAAAGATTTTTACTTTCTCGCTACTATTTACACAGTATAGAGAAAGTTATGTAATGCTACGGGGGAAAAGGTATTTTTCGACAGAAAAACTCTTATAGGCAAGAACTGGTAACGAAGAACGGGATAAATCCAGTTGCTTACTATGCAGAAAAATCCTCTAACACGTGGTATAGTCAGAATTCATGTTTAATTGGTGCTTGATAACGAAAAATCGATTGCAAAACGTCCGTCTGTCTGTGAACAACGTTAGCGACTAAACAGTTCAGGCGATTTTCTCCTTATTTGATATTTCCCAATCGATCTGGCTGATGTCGCGGCCCTTGTATATACGCTGATATTTTAATTTTGGGAGTACTTTACTTGAAGTTGCTGGGACATTTTCAAAATTAAAAAAAAAAGGCACGCTAAAGAGAATGGTTCAGGCCTGATTTGCGTTAAAATCCGGTTTTTCCAAAAATTGCAAAAGTTCTCATTTTTTTCTGACTCTTCCTATAAATTAGACCTCAATTTGAAAATATAAATTTTTTCCTCAAATGAAATTTCTTCTCCATAATTAGTTCTTTCATTAATGTTATGCACATTTTAAAAAAGTTTTAGTAGTTTTCCCAAAAAATCGAGTGACATATGAGGAATATTAAAAAATATCAAAAACAAAAATTTCTCGAAAAGAGCTCCAAATTTTTTCTTTGAATTTTTGGTAAGGATAGTGCTAAATGTACTGTATAAGATAACATAAACGTCATTTTGCTTTTGCTAAAAAAAAACCCAAACGTAATTTTTGACATCTTTCTCATGTCGTTAATATGTACAAGTACATTACCGGCAATTTATATACAGTATTTCATTGGCAAGGACATGTACTTCAAATGATATAATAAATTTAGAACTTAAAATTTTTCTGTGAAAACGAGCCCGAAATTCCGCATTTTCAGAAACGCTCGTTTTGCTGGAAACATCTTCAATTCTTTTCTTAAAACAGACGATCGGACAGAAAGACAGATGGACGGACGGACGTTTTACCGTCAATTTTTTGACACAAAACATGAAGTCTGATTACATAACGTGTTAGAGAATGTAATTTACTACACATAAGGATAAAGAATTATACACTTTAAGCTATTACACAACTTTCTCAACTCTATGTATGTAGTATTTGAGAGAATAAAAATAAAGAATAAGCGATAGGTACTTTTGGAGAAAATTTCGTAAAGAAAATGGTAAAAGATGAATTGAATTTTGTAGAACATATGACATGAACCTTATGAATGGTTTCTATAAATATAAAGATATACCTGGGTGCAGCCTTCCAAAAAACTAAAATCAATAATCGACTGTGTAATTTTGCCACAGTCATAATGTATTAAAATATTGAATGTAAGGATTTTTAGAGCTGCGGAATGAGGCACTAATCACTACTTTCTAAAGGGTATTATTGATTTTTCCTTTAGAAAGCAGGTTCCAAAAACAAAAATTATTACAAAAAAGAAGCTGACAGAATTACTTACCCCAAATATATTTTAAATCTATTGAATGACAACTCCATCAAATTTCTATATCTATTAAGACTAGCAAATAAATTAAGACAAGAACCTGATGGGACAACTGATGATATGTACAAAAAACTAAAAGCAGCAATACATAAGGAAGCTTTGGGTGAGGAGGATAATGAAAATCCTAGATAATATTGGTGGAATTATGAAGTATAAACTAAGATACAGGAGAATAGAAAATGTTACTATAAAAAATGGCTGGTGACACAAAATCTGGACAACAGGAAAGAATATGAGAATTTGAAGAGAGGTGAAAAAACTAATGAAGCAATCAAAAGATCAATGATGGAAGAAAAAATGTTCAGAAATGGAAGAAAACATAGGTTGGATACAGTGCAAAGAATCATGGAAACTTATAAAAAGTTTAAGAGAAGATAGTGAACAAAAACTATTTAATAAATTATAAAAATGGACAAATGTATTCAATACGACTCAGGTTTGTTTCAAGAGAATAGATACAAATTCAAGGAAGCACTGGAACAAATTAACAGAAAACTGAATATTGAACCAGTCCATGATGCAGGAGAAATAAATTTAAAAGAGATGAAGAACTCCATGAAAATAACTGGAAAGCTTATCTAACATAAATTCTCAAAAAGTTACTAAACTCTGGGCATAAAAATGGGCACATAGAGAAACTTCATATACAGGGATATTACAGCAAAACTGTATGTACGAATTTTAAAACAGAGAATCGAAAGGGAGTTTAAAACAGATGAGGAACAAAGTAGTTTTACAGCTCTTCGAAGTCATACCAATAACATCTTAACAATAAGCAGGTGCTACAAAAGAGATTAGCAAAAAATAAAGAGATTCACCTTTTATTTACAAACTTACAAACAATAATGAAATTATTAAGTAAAACAATAATTGACTGATATTGCAGGCAGAAAAACATGTTTTTGTAGATTTGTTTCCATTGCCATCAATGAGATGTTAGGGACATTTTAACAGGAAGACATCAGTTCTTTTTGATTTAAGTGTGAGAAAATATTTCTACTATTTATGACTTTGTTTACTTTAAATAAACAAATTACATTTTTTAAACGTGGTAGGAATGCAGGACTCTAATTTAGACAAAAATAGGCATTTATCTTTAAAATAGGTATTTATCACAAAAAAAAAGGCAAATTAGAAAATCACTATTGGAACCACAAATTTGTTGAGTTTTGTTTTAAAAATTTCGCTAACTTGAATGAATAAAAAAAGTCATTTTGTCTAAATTTCAGTTTCTATCAGCAATGTGGTAATATATGAGTAATGTAGTTTTGAGGTAAAAGTTAACTTCTTACTTATCTCTTGATTTGCAATACTGCTAGTCCTAAGTAGTATAACTTAAAGGAGGTGTGGGGCAAGAGAAGAGCAATTGTCACAAATATTCCAAGTATTTATTTTTAAATTTTCACAATTGTAAAATCTTACAATTATAAAATAAACAATTTGAAAGAAGTCCTTATAAAGTACTCTTCAAACATTTCTTGGAATTGCCAAAGCAGATGCTGCCCGGTGAGTGCAAGTGCTTGTCATTGGACTGGCAGCTTTCTGGGGTCAACTGTTTCTGTTTTGACCTATGGATGTTGACAGTTCTGCTCAAAAAGATGTGTTTTGAACAGGAAATAAACTACTCATCATATGCTTGAAGATACTTTGATACATGGAGGAGTGAAGTACTAGTAAATAACTACAGTACTCTGACTAGTAAATTGCACTTTGAGAATTTTCTGCAAGGAGCAAGCACATTCTTTCACTTTATATTAATTAATTAAACTTGTTTATTTGCCTTCTCCAAAAAAAAAAAAAAAAAAAAAAAAAAAAAAAAAAAAAAAAAAAAAAAAAAAAAAAAAAAGCAAAAGAAAAATTTAATTATTACTTATTTTTTAAATGTAATTTTTTCCTTCCCTCCTTGCATTTTAAAGACTTAATCCTCGATGTTTCAGGCCAAAATGGAGTATTACTGATCAAACATTTTATTTGGCACTGAATGCCACAATCATTACTTTTGCTTCAATTTTCCTTTCAGTCTACAAATTTAAATGTAATACCTATCGAAGGCTTCTGCAGTCAGAATGAAACAAATTACCTTGGCTATATGGATGATGTTGTGTCGAAGGTTGTAATGACAAATTTTCGACTGTCTTGTCATGGTATTTCTCAGTTATTGTGTTTAGCTTTTGATATAATTGTAATGACAGTTTGATAAAACAGCTGTATTCACTATTACAAAACAGAGGTCCACAACTGAATTTACTAAATCTTTAAAAAATGCAGACATGACAAGATAAAACAAACAAAAGAGAAATTAACAAAATATAAAATATTTATAAGATTTAAATTACAACTTTTAGTAAATGATATTTAAAAATTTTAACTCTAAAAGTTGGGTTCAATTAACGACCCAAGAAAGAAGTGGTGCGGTCACTTGAGTATCCCTTAGGAAAT